ACCCATGAAATCTATTCCCTATACATGAAAACTTTGGACTACTAACATATTACTCATGGGCATTTCATATTTTCTTACTCATGTTACCTATAGATTGACATGAAATACATGTTCTACTAAATTCTATAGAATCTCTAATGATTGTAGGCTAATAAAAACTACACTGAATTTTTTTTGCAGCTATTTTTCATCCAAAGAAATGTCCTCCTCAGTTAGATGAATGGCACATGTTAATAATGTTATGATATTCTTCTTTAGGAACACATCTCCTTAAAATTTGATCATTGCCCAACTAATATAAATCAAGATCATGCCAAAAATAATTTCTAATCTTAGAAAAGAAATGATGTTTTCTATTTTTATCTCACTATTCTAGAATTTTTCTAGAAATCAGAAAATTAACAATATGTGCATACCATGGTGATGGTTGATGTTGAGCTGCCATCAATTGTTCATCTAGAAATGTGTCTTGTAAAGGTTCTACATTTATTCTTGTATCACTTAATCTAAAAAGATGGTCAGCAAACAACATTCTCGAAACCTTTTTTATCTTTTATTTCTAAGTCAAATTCTTACAACAATAAATACATCTTAATAAACATGGCTTTGCATCTTTCTTATTTAACAAATATTTTAATACTACATGATCAGTATAAATAATAATTTTAGCTCCCAAAATATATGATTTAAACCTTTCTAATAAAAATACTACAACAAACGACTCTTTTCCAATCGTGGTATAATTTAATTGAGCATTTGATATAGTTTTACTGATATATGAAATTACTATGGGTTTTGACTCTTTTGTTTGTCCTAGAACGGTCCCCACTACATAATTCGATGCATCACACATTATTTCAAAGGGAAAGGACCAATCAAGAGCTTGTAAAATGGGTGCCTCAATAAGTAATCTTTTTATTTCAGAAAAAGACTCAAAACATTTCTCATCAAAATTAAAAGGCACATCTTTAGATAATAACATGGTGAGAGGTTTAGAAAATTTTGAAAAATCTTGAATAAATTTTCTATAATAACCTACATGACCCAAGAAAGATATAATCTATTTAACTGAATTTGGAGGTTTCATTTTAGATATAATATCAATTTTTGCTCTATCCACCTCTAAACCATTTTCACTCATAGTATGACGCAACACAACTCCCTCTCTAACCGTAAAATGTGATTTCTCCCAACTCAAAACTAACTTTTTCTCTATACATTTCTCAAGTACATGCTATAAATGATTTAAGCATTCATTAAATGATTCACCAAAAATAGAAAAATCGTCCATAAAAATTTCCATATATTTTCTTGTCATATCAGAAAAAGTAGACAACATACATCTTTGAAATGTGGCTAGATAATTACACAGACCAAAAGACATGTATTTAAAAGTAAAAGTACCAAATGGACAAGTGAAAGTTATTTTTTCTTGATCTAAAGGGTTTATATAAATTTGATTATAACTAGAGTATCCATCTAGACAACAAAAAAAGTTTTTTTCAACTAATTTTTCTAGAATTTGATTAGTAAATGGTAGGGAAAAATGATCTTTTCTAGTAACTGAATTTAATTTTCTATAATCAATGCAAACCCTCCAACTGTTAGTTAATCTTGTTTGTATTTCATCCCCATTTTTGTTTTTTATAAACGTGATCCCTGATTTTTTTTGGCACCATTTGTATAGGACTAAGCCATTTTCTATTTGAAATAGGATAAATAATATCAACAACCAACTACTTTAAAATTTCTTTTTTTACAATTTCCATCATGTTAGGATTTAATCTTCATTGTGGTTCCCTGCTAGTCCTAGCCTCCTCCTTTAGATATATATTATACATGCATACACTCATATCAATGTCTCTTAGATCATCCATTTTTCACTCAATAGCCTTCTTATTTTTTCAAATTACATCTAATCATTCTTCTTCCTATTCATCACTCAAATCAACTACAATAATAATAGGAAATGAATTATTTTCCTCCAAAAACATATATTTTAAACTAGAGGGAAGAGGTTTCAACTCTGAATTCAGATGATCTTCCTCTTTCTTTTCTCTCAAATTTATATTCTCTACTTTCTCTAATTCTTCCAGCACATAGTCATCAATAACATCTGGATCATGAAAATCATCTAGAAGATCTATGGTATGTTAATCATATACTTGGGATTTCTTAAGATCATTTGCTACCTCAAAAATTTTAATTTCTACTGATTGATCTCCATATAAAATTTTCATAATACCTATGAGAAAATCAATATTCATCTTTGTTGTATGCAAAAATGGTCTCCCTAGGATGATTGGTGTATCATAAAACTATCCATTAAAATCCATTTCCAGCACTACCAGATCAGCTAGAAATTTACACCCTTTAACTGACACTATCACATTTTCTAAAATACTTTTAGGATGTTTTATGGATCTATCAGCAAATTGTAAGGTAATAGTAGAAGGTTTAAGATTAGTAATATTAAATTTATCACAAATACTTGCAGGTAATAAATTAATACTAGCATTGGTGCAAGTAATGTATTTTGAAAAATGGATCCACCAATACCACCCAAAATTAAAGGGGCACCCATATCCCTCAATTTATATGGTAATTGATTTAATAATAAAGCACTAGTATGTATAGATAATTTTTCTACTCTAGGTGCTCTTTTTGGTGTATACATTCCTTTCAAAACTTTAACATATTTAGGAATATGTTTAATGGTAATGAGTAAAGGAAGATTAATTTACATATCTTGTAAAATTTTCTTTATTTCTTCATTATGTTCCTTTTTCTTTCTTTGTCTAGGCTCTAGAGCTTTAGGAAATGGAATGGTTGTCCTCTCTTTCGAAATTTCCTTGGTAGAATCTATAAAATCTTCTTCTACTCCTATTTGATTTTGTTTTGGGCTGTCTATCTTTTCCTTTTCTTCTAATGTTTGGGGAAAGGATCAAGTAAGATCTTACCACTTCTTAATGCATTCACTATTCTAACATTTTCATTTCCTGGGTTTTTCCTAGATTCATGCTACTAGACTCCCCTTGTTGAAATCCTATTGTTGGACAGTTCCCTAGATTTTCTAGGGGCTGACTAGGTAGTTGTCCCTCTTCTCTCTTATTCCCAAGAGCCTCTATAATTTGTTTATGTTGCAGTATCATTTGATTCATAACTTGTTGCATCATTTGGCTCATTTGTTGCATCATTTCCATAATATCAGATTGGGTTTGAGAGGGCTGATTTTTTTGAAATCTGTTTTTTATTTTAGATGAAATTCAGAGTTTGAATTAGGTCTAAGTGCTTCTAGATTTTGAATATTATTTGGGTCTCTCCATGAAAAAATACTCCTCTAATTAGAATTATAAGAATTTCACACTTTAACACAAATATAAGTCTATTTATCATGAGTTAAGGCTAAAACTATATTATTTACTAATTATTAACTCATGATAATAAAGACTTATAAACCCCACCAGACTCAGTTTAGTCTTTATAGTCCCTTTAGAATTTAGAGTCTTCTCTTAGACTACATTAACTTCTACCGTAATTATTTTCTAATATTTGAATAGTAATCTCCATATATCTTCACTATAGTCTAGTTTTTGATAATAGATTTTATGGTAATTATGTGTATTTATAGTCTTTTTGTGAATGATGTTAAAATTTGGTTGGTGCATTGTTGAGTTTAATTCATTCACTTCTTATATGTTCTTATGTTTATCTTTTCTATTATAAGCTGTAATTCTTTCCCCTTGTGGTTGTGTTAGTCTTCCATTATAGTTTTTTAATGTAGGCATCTGACTTCTAATTAGTCATTGGTGGGTTCAAGTCACATGAAGCGTGTCTTTTCATGCACTATTGTTCTCTCCTTAGCTTCATTTTATCTATTTTATAGCCTTATACATTGTTTCTTCATATGTATGATAACAAGAAATAAAGGTTAACTAAATAAAAATATTCAATATTTGAGGACTACATATGAATAAATATGTCTAGAGATGTTCATATAAAACACTTGGAAAACACCTAAATATACTTCATTGACTTTTGTGCATTTATTTCCTTCATAAGAAATTACAATCCAAACTTGAATTTTTTTTGCAAATATATACATATATATATATTACACACACCATATTCAAGCAATTTTTTTCAAAATGGCATTGCTAAAAATAACAAGAGTATCACATTAAGAGTACACAATATAAAGCCTTCTATTATAGTGGATAAAATTTATCTCACAAGGTAGTATAATGTATAAAACATATCTCTACAATAATATTTTAACCAAATACTAAAATTATTATTTATAATAATCAGGTGTGTATTTAGTGTATCTACTAACATTCAAGACATCTTCTCTACCCTCAATAGAGATATTTTAATTATTTCTACTTGTGTTGCTTTAGATTTTTTTATTTTAGCTCTTGGTAAGAAGTGAGCTGACTTATAACATCTAACACGTAAAGCACTGTAGTAAGAAATAATACAAAATATTGTTTGGGCGATAAGGTATAAGAAATTATGTACTCAATATTCATTTAGTAATGAATAATAATTGAGATACAAATTGAAACAGCCAAATTTAAAAACCCACACACACACAACTCATCACGTGCATGTCACGCACCGACGGCTATTACCTTAAACTAACGTTAGAAATCCCTCTGTACGACTCTCTCTCTCTCTCTCTTCCCCGCTCACTCTGGGATAAACAACCTGTTAGTTCCTTTCGGGTGTGGTCGGGGCGGGAGTGCATCCCTGCGTCCCACGTGTCAGGTGGATGCGACGAAGATCCTTCCGGAAAGTCCGCTGCACAAGCTTGCCGCTCCGCGGTATTTGGATACCCCGCACGCCCGCAACTGCCCTGCTCTACAGTTGAGTTCCCGCCAGGGCCCAGCCCGCCAACGTTCAAACTCTCCTCTTCTCCCTACATCTCTTCCTCCTCTTCTCCCTCCACCTCTCCATCCTCTTTTCTCCCGGCATCGTCTTCCCCGAGGAAGCTGAGGATGGCGGGCTTCCACGGGCGGCAGGGCTTCCACCGCCGCCACGCCCACAGACAGTGGGGTCCCCCGCCGACTCCTCCCCACTACGGCGGCTTCTCTGGTTACGCTCTCCCTCCCCCGTATCTCTCCACCATTTACCAGCCGGGATGGAGCTATGGCCCCCCCCAGCCCATGCCTCCCGCTCCTTCTCCTCCTCCGAGTACTCCTCGTCTGGGGACCGAGATCGTCACCCTCCTTCTGCGGACGCAGATCGAATACTACTTCAGGTACCCCTCTCTCCGTCTCTGTACCGATTTCGATGATCGCCGATCTTGCGCCTGGATCCATTAACGACGGACTGGAATCTGCGCAGCGAGGACAATCTGGCGAGAAACGTCCACCTGAAGATGCAGATGGACGAGGAAGGCTGGGTGAGCGTGCATACCATCGCCAGCTTTCCGAGGGTAAGCGACTGTCATTCCGACTGCTGCCGCCGATTTCTCTTCCCTTGGATCTCCGTGGGGGGTTGAACCAAGGCATTTCCTCGCAGGTGAAACGGCTGACGAACGACGTGGTGCTCATACTGCGGTCGCTGCAGCCTTCTCCCACCGTGGAGGTGGAGGTGATGGTGAGTCTTCCGACCCTGGATCTGGAAACCTGATCGAACCTGTGGATTTTTTGTCTAGTTCGGCTGATGTGTGCGTCGATCTTGACTTCGCAGGATGGCAAAATGAGGAGGAGGGGGACGTGGAAAAAGTGGCTGATTCGAAGGTAGAAGGAGCCTCCTGTCGAGCAGGGTACCGGACACCAGTGGAAGCTCATTTTAATTCTACCTCCGCCTCTCTCTCTGTCTCTGTGTCTCTCTCTCTACCGGGGCTACGTATCGTCTCCCACCTCCTCTGTGAGCCCCTCTGCGTCTGTAGCCCTGCGAGAAGCACAGGAAAACTCATGCAGAGGGTTTTTATGAAATTACTGTAACGGAAATGCCTTGCAGGGGGGAAACGACCCCGAAGGATGAAAAATGGGGCGAATAAAATGGGCTGAAGTGATGGGTGGGTGGGCTGGCGGACTGGGCTCTGTCGGGCCGGATGCGTAAAGAAGCATTATGACTCCAATCGAGCCTCTCTTGTACCCCCCCACTGTGGACCGTTTGGCAGACTGATCCAGGCTCCTGGCATGGGGTCGTCAGTAGTGTGGACCCCAGGCTGAAAGCCCAGCAGATCCTCTCCTCACCTGTTTGAACACATGCAATTATCTCGATTTAGTTGTAAGGAAATTTGAATTAAAATACCCTCCACGAGTGTGCAAAATTTGGCGCCCACACCTGGGAAACTAGTATTCTTCGTGAGTCACATTATTTTTCACCGCATTGAACCATCTCTTGTTTACAGGACCTGGGTTTCACCGAGAAGCCCCGTAAAGGTGATCCATCGAACCCATGCCAAAGCACATTTTCAGTGGAGCTAAATAGATCCCAAGCTTTCATGGCCCCATTCAGTTGAGTAACAAGATGCAAAGCACTTGGATGGAGAGAGAGAGAGAGAGAGAGAGAGAGAGAGAGACAACTTAGATCAGCTCAATTATCTAGAGATGTAGAATATGGACTACAGATTCCTATGAATCACAACATAGTCGAGGGGGGAGGTGGGAAGATCAAAATCACTCAAGTTTGGTATGTTGCTTTCATAATAAAAATGAAGATGTTGTAAAAAACATAAAGACAGGAGAGATTCAAGAGATATTACGGCTGATCCCAAATCTTCATGTGGTGGTGAAACAACAATTTACACCAAGCTAACCCAACTAGGTCCAACTTGGGCATCAACATGTAGAACACATGTGGACTAATGGGCCAGCGGGTCATGTGTATTTCGTTGCGAATCCAACCGGTAAGGAGGAAGTTCACTAGATCTGATAATTTGAGAAGATCTGTATCATTATTTTTCATACAGGCTCGCCCATATGGTGTTTTCTCCAATTTCAATCTGAACTACAGATGTGCATATATTCTAAGAACTTCTCCCGGTGTTAAGGATTGAAATACGATCATCAGTCGCTAATCGTCTTCTACTCCTCTTTTCCTCTTCTTCTTCTTCCCGTGGAACCAAGGCGGAGAGGCATCTTCAATTTGGCGCTTCGAGCAGTTATGCAGTCTCTGGCGACAGAGTGCACACGCTTGTGCCTCTCTCACACGCTGGAAGAGGATATCCACGCGGACATCACCATGAACGCGGCCAGCGGCACGTTGCGCGCACACAAGGCCCTCCTGACGGCGAGCTCACCTGTCTTGAAGAGAATGTTGCTGGACGACGACCGGGAGGAGAAGTCCTCGGTCATTGTGATCAAGGACGTGTCCTTGGAAGCCTGCGGGGCCCTCTTGAACTACCTCTACGGCGTCGTCCGGCAAGAGGTCTTCTTGAAGCACCCGGTGGCGCTGCTCGCGGCCGCCAAGAAGCACGACCTTGCCGACCTGAAGGAGTGCTGTGAGGAGAGCCTTCTGGAGGACCTGACCTCTGGCAACGTGCTCGAGAGGCTCCGCGAGGCATGGATTTACCAGCTCGACCGCCTGAAGAAGATCTTGCTTCACCTTCCTCTTTGACTTCGGCAAGATCTACGACGTCGGTGAAGGCATTTACGACTTCTTCCGCGACGCCAACGTTGTGAACTCCTGGTCGAGATGTGCCAGGCGATGCTGACCGTCTGAAATCCTGTGTAGGGCAGCTCCTCACACGGCACCGGTTACTTTTGTCAGCGGGGTAGGGGGAACTTGTTTATACTCTACAGTGCCCGCACGTGGGTCATCATCCCCTTCGACACGTAGCCCAGCCCCCAGACGCGGTGCGATTCTCTGCTCATGTATGTGAGGAATTTTGCATAAGCGGTTTAGTTCTGTATGACGAGGGAGGAGAACCCGTTTTTAGTGTACAGTGATCCACCCCTTTGACTTCCCCAAAACCCTCACCTCTACACACAGCCCAAACAGGTTGGGAACTCGCTCGTATATCTCCCTCACTTACCCCGCGTGTGTACCAAACAAGTCAGCAGAGCACGGACCACTTGGACATCGATCAAGACTCTAGAGTCGAGCGCTGTGCAAATGAGATTCGGACATCTCATTTTTTTTCACAATACTATCAGGTTTTCCCAACACGCCCAATATAAAGCCTTCTATGACAGTGTATAAAATTTATGTCACGTGGTAGCATAATGTATGGAACATATTTTAGTGCAATGTTTTAATGAAATATAAAATTATTACTTCTGATAATCAAATCTGTATTTAGTGTATCTACTAACATTGAAGACATCTTCCCTACCCTAAGTGGAGATGTTTTAATTATTCCCAATTTTGTTGCTTTCGAATTTTTGAGAAATTCAAGTTTAACACGTAACACCTAACACAGAAAGCATTTAAGTAAGAAATAATATCAAATATTGTTTGGATATAAGGTATAAGAAATTCAGTAGTCCATACTCATTAAGTAATAAATAATAAATCATCTAGAAATTGAAACAGCCAAATTAAAAAACCCCACACACAAGACTCATCACGTGCATGTCATGCACCGAAGCCCATTACCTTAAACTAACGTTAGAAATCCCTCTGTACAACTCTCTCTCTCTCTCTTCCCCACTCCCTCTGGTATAAACAACCTGTTAGCTGGTTTCGGGTGTGGTCGGCGCGAGAGTGCATCCCTGAATTCCACGTATCCGATGGATGCGACGAAGATCCTTCTGGAAAGTCCGCTCCACAAGCTTGCCGCTCCGCGGTATGTGGATACTCCGCAACGCCCGCAACTGCCCTGCTCTACAGTTGAGTTCCCGCCAGGGCCCAGCCCGCCAACGTTCAAACTCTCCTCTTCTCCCTATATCTTTTCCTCCTCTTCTCCCTCCACCTCTCCATCCTCTTTTCTCCCGGCATCGTCTTCCCCGAGGAAGCTGAGGATGGCGGGCTTCCACGGGCGACAGGGCTTCCACCGCCGCCACGCCCACAGACAGTGGGGTCCCCCGCCGTCTCCTCCCCACTACGGCGGCTTCTCTGGTTACGCTCTCCCTCCCCCGTATCTCTCCCCCATTTACCAGCCGGGATGGAGCTATGGCCCCCCCCAGCCCATGCCTCCCGCTCCTTCTCCTCCTCCGAGTACTCCTCGTCTGGGGACCGAGATCGTCACCCTCCTTCTGCGGACGCAGATCGAATACTACTTCAGGTACCCCTCTCTCCGTCTCTGTACCGATTTCGATGATCGCCGATCTTGCGCCTGGATCCATTAACGACGGACTGGAATCTGCGCAGCGAGGACAATCTGGCGAGAAACGTCCACCTGAAGATGCAGATGGACGAGGAAGGCTGGGTGAGCGTGCATACCATCGCCAGCTTTCCGAGGGTAAGCGACTGTCATTCCGACTGCTGCCGCCGATTTCTCTCCCCTTGGATCTCCGTGGGGGGTTGAACCAAGGCATTTCCTCGCAGGTGAAACGGCTGACGAACGACGTGGTGCTCATACTGCGGTCGCTGCAGCCTTCTCCCACCGTGGAGGTGGAGGTGATGGTGAGTCTTCCGACCCTGGATCTGGAAACCTGATCGAACCTGTGGATTTTTTGTCTAGTTCGGCTGATGTGTGCGTCGATCTTGACTTCGCAGGATGGCAAAATGAGGAGGAGGGGGACGTGGAAAAAGTGGCTGATTCGAAGGTAGAAGGAGCCTCCTGTCGAGCAGGGTACCGGACACCAGTGGAAGCTCATTTTAATTCTACCTCCGCCTCTCTCTCTCTCTGTCTCTGTCTTTACCGGGGCTACGTATCGTCTCCCACCTCCTCTGTAACCTGTAAGGCCTTTTTCGCCTGTAAACCGGCCGGCGGCGCCAGGGTGGCGAGGTTCTTGAATAGGTTAGAACCACAAGAGAACTCATGTAGAGGGTTTTTATGAAATTACTGTAACGGAATTGCCATGCAGGGCGAGAAGGACCCAACCCCGTAGGATAAAAAATGGGCCGAGTAAATCGGGCCGAAGTGAATAGGTGGGTGGGTTCTGTCCGGCAGGATCGGTAAAGGATCCGTATGCCTTCCATCGAGCCTCTCTTGTACCTCCACAGTGGACCGTTCGGCAGATTGATGCAGGCTCTTGGTAAGGGGTCGTCGGTACTGTGGGCACACCCCGCCTGAAAGCTCAGCAGATCCTCTTCTCACTTGTTTCAACGCGTGCACTTTTCTCGATTTAGTTGTATGGAATTTCGAATTAAAAATACCCTCTACAAGCGTGCAAAATTTGGGGGCCACACCTGGAAAACTACTAAACTTCGTGAGCCACATTACTTTTCACCGCATGAACCATCTCTTGGTTACAGGACCTGGATTTTACCAACAAGCTCAGGAAAGGTGATCGGTCGAACCAATGCCAAAGCAATTTTCAGTGGAGCTAAATAAATCCCAATCTAATGGCCCCATTTAATTGAGTAACAAGATGCAAAGCACAAGGAGAGAGAGAGAGAGAGAGAGAGGGAGAGAGAGGGAGAAGGAGAGAGACAGAGAGAAGAACAACTAAGATCAGCTCAATTATTCAGAGATGTGGAATATGAATCACAGATTCCCATTAATCATAACATAGTTCAGGGGAGGAGGTGGGGAGATCGAGACCACTCAAGTTTGATATGTTCTCCCTCTCTCTCTCGCCCTGGGAACCCTAGACCTTATGTAAGGTAAAGGACAGAGACATGGGGAGTCAGGGGTTTTATTTTGTCTGAAATAAGGTGAAGCAGCAACGCCTTTGGAACCACTC